CGACTCCTTCCTTGCGCCTCCGACTCCTTCCTTGCGCCTCCGACTCCTTCCTTGCGCCTCCGACTCCGCGGAGACCTCCGGCGGCGGCGGCGGTTCCATTGCGGCGGACACACCGTTTTCGGAACTATAAATAAATAGTTTTTAATCGAGTTTTAAACTGCTTTCAAGCCACGCGACAAACGGTTTAAGTCGGTCTGTCGGGAAACTGACAGCGTGTCCGTCTATAGTGGTTGGCACTAATACGCGTCTGCAGTCGCAAGTGAAAAATTGATGTAAGGGAAACACTAGGCCCAGGAGGAGAAGATTCTCCCTTGAACTGCCGTCTAGACCAGTGTTTCAACTAGATCAACGCATCGCTGATCGCCTCTTTCACATACAAGAGTCACGCCACACTCCGTGATGTGTCGGATCGTGGATTGGCGGGAAGGCCAGGTAAACCGAACCGATCAGTATTTCTCTCCCTGTCCTACCACCTCTATCTTACTCCTCTCTCTCAATCTTCCCTCTCCATCATCCTCCCTCCGCCCCTCATTCCTTCGCGAGTCAATTGATATATTCTAGTTTGATGCACATTCGACTTAAAGTAGTTCGCATATTTTTCCTCGTAAGAAACTCGCGCGGGCCGCCATTGCATCAGATCCTTCTCCCTCTTGGAGGCTCTCGGAGTAACGCCCGGAGCAGGTGCGCTCCTTAACACACCGCTCGACAAGCATACCGCGGCGCAATTGCGCTCGCCCCCTCTCTCTCCGGCGCGTGCATTTAGCCCGACTTGCACACGCCCCAAGTTGGGCGCCCGGCCGAGAGGTGCACTTCTAATTAAGATCTGGCAGCCTCCTTCGCCGGGCGCTGCTTTCCCCGCTCACACCGGAGATGCGCATGCGCAGTAAACGGCTTTCCTTCCCTCTTGCGCCGGCGCCGGGCCTCAACGCTCGCTCGCTCTGTGCGATGGAACCTAAATAACGCGTTTATCGTCCGTTATTGGCGAAGTTACGTAAGAGCACATTGCCAAAGCACCCTCCTGTTCCGCTTCGTCTTGTGGAAGAGAATGCTTTCTCCTGCGGGGCGGTGAGAGGTTGTCTCCCTCGGTGGGGGGGGGGCGGAGCGCGTGGGGGGTGGAAACGCGCGTCAGCGGGTCGACGGCCGGCGCGGCGAGTAGTGGACTGTGTGCGGTGAGGACGTCGGGATGCCAGGATGCGGAAGGACAGGGAGCGCGAGAGATAGGTCTATCGAATGGTAAGGAGGGGAGTTGGCGGAAGGTAGGAGGAGGGACGTTGGAGAAGAGTAGGCGGGCAGATGACCTGGATTGATTGATTAGTGATTCCAGACACGTCAACTGACAATGGCATTGATCCCGTAAGTGCAGTGCATGTTTATATCGCTAGAGATGGCCGTAATCGTCGTCTTGTGGAGATTTCTTTCCCAACCAGGTACCTTCCATCAGCGTGGCACCGCTGTAGCCGCGTCAAGTTTACAGTGTAAGCTCCCGACATGTGTGGTAGCGTGGTGCGTGTGGTGTGTGTAAGTAAGGGCTGAAAATATGATACGGAACACGAAGGAAAGATTTAACGTTGTCCGTGGTTCGTTTATTAGGGTACTGCTCCGGAATTCGCCTGGTGATCACAGAAACCACGAAAAACTTCTTATCTTTACTAGCAGACGGCCGCTAGAATTCTCCTCCACCCAGCGACTGAATTGACCCCGCTGTCTTGCTAGTGTTGAAAATTTTCGAATTCGGGATTCGAACCCTATGACCTCCCGGTCAGAGGCACTGCAGTGACACCAGTTGATGCCCAGTGTCCAGTATACTGGTAAAAGGCTTGGAAGAAGGATTAGAAACGGGGAGGAGACTTTGAAGAAGAAGGCAGAAGGGTGTCTGTGCCTGAGGTGCCAGATAGAGGACTAGTTGTGGTATCAGTTAGGCGAATTGTGAACCGAGCGGGGGCAGACGGGAGGTCGAAGGGAGCGGACAGGGCGGGGCGTGAACGAGCGGCTTTATGAAGAGGTGAGGATTTGCCGAAGGGACGGCGGAGTGGGCGTGGGCGCGGGGACGCGGCATCTGGGGCGAGCACGGCTCTGTAAATACCAGGCGCGTCCTGCTTCTGCCTTTTTAACGACTGGCCGCCAAGAAATATAGGCAGAGGCACAGGGGCAGGCTGCTTCTGCTTCTGCGGCTGCCGGGCGTTGTTTATCATTCACTCCGTCTTTTTGCTGCTCCCTCCCCGCCCCGCCCACGCCCGCGCCTTTCACTCTCTCCCCCCCGCTTTTTCCTCCCAACTTCTTCCTTTTTTTTCTTTCTTTTCTCCGCGTCGTTAAAACAGGCCAGCTTCCCCCTAGGGCGACTCGCACCTCCTCTGGCGGCCGATTTCGGAATATGTGGCTTGCAGGCACGACGCCGCCCTCGTGAACCTTGTTGGGGAGGCGATTTATGTCACTCGACTGGCCCCCGAGGACTGTTGCCTCGCGAGAATGAAGCGACGCGCGTTCAACTTCTAAATGAGTTCGTGTAATGGTGGTTGTTCATGAACGTTTTTTTTCTTCTTCTTAAGCTTTTGGAAAAATGGGGTTCTATTTTTGGGAATGAAATGTGTGCTGCTTTAAAACCCGTTCCTCTTCGTACTTCTTTTTAATAAGGTATTTGTAGCTATCGTTGTCTTTGATGAAACAAATCTGCAACAAAAACGTGGCCAATTTTTTGTAGTTTATTCTATGTTATCTTCAATCATACAACGTATTGCGTAAGTTTTTTTGTGTTCAGTCGATTTGCGTTGCGTTAGACTCGCGACTGCTGCTCTTAATATCTTCACAGTTACGTGCATCAGCGACCACTGGTGTGTTGAAAGTTTCGAGAACGATTTCTTGAAATATATACGTTACTTCTAAACATAACGCAACTTAATTGGCCAAAGTCGTTTTTCGTCATCCACAATGATGAGCAGCTTTATAACTCAAAGCATTCTGTGTAAGTATTGAATTGCGTTCGTGTGGTGCGGGAAGTATCTAAGTGCAATGTCTTGTACGTTTCGATTCTGCCTCGTCTTTCTACCTCCTCAATCGATGTACCTCGTTCTCTCCGCGGTCGATGTGAATGCAGTCCACCTTGACTTCACCTCTTCCAGCACAATACTCTTCCGTCTCGCCAGAGGGCGCTTCCGCCTTCGTCACGTGACCCTCCACTTTATTTGTGAGCCTTTTCGGATTCCCTGGGATTGAGGCATTCCTGCGGCGAGCTGGCAGACGCGTTCCTCGCCCCCGCATTCTCGGCCTGCGCCTCAAAGTACACAAATGAGTGAAGCGTAAACCACAGGTCCCTTATCCGTCCCGTCTTAAACACGTTCTATATTAAAATCTACTGGTTGTGTGTTGTACGTGCTTTCAATGGTACTGCAGCGTCGTGCAATAAGCGTCACTGTTGACCAATCAGTTTCCACAATCGTTCGATCTCTTCAACGGTAAGATAGTGTGTTAATTATTAGCCGAAATAAATGACCTACGACTTTATTTTAGAAGCTGGTATTCCTATTTTCACAAACCTTCTGGCAATTTTTGAACGAAGGTCTGATGTGCTGTACATGTTGCCGGTCGAACAAAGGATAGCAGCCCAGCCACACCGGAAGGAGGCGTTCCGACGTGGCCCTGTGCGTGAAACGTAAAGTAACGAGTCCGGAGGTGGCCGACATAAACCATTGGGAGCGTGGGCCTTGGATGCGGGCTGCGCTTTCGTACGGCCGAAGCGGAGTAAAGCGGGGCGGGGCGGGGCCTCCGTGATTCCGCCGTCGTGGCTCGGCCCTAGGCGGCCGGTCGCTTTGTTTGCCCACGCCTGAATTAGATCGCGCTGCCGCCGCGCTCGGCCTCGACTACCGCCGCCACCGTCGCCGTCACCGCCACCGCCACCGCCACCGCCACCGCCACCGCCGCCGCGCTCCGCGGCGACTAACTATGCGCCACTTCGCCTCGGCGCACGACCCAGGCACGCGTCCGGCTGCGCCGGCCCTTTGGGAGCCGCGAGTAATTTATTGACAGCGGCGCGACCCCCTCGTTTATCTGCAGGTCATCGCGGGCGAGCGGAATCTGCGGCGCTGGCGTCTTGCGCTTCGCGGACACTGGGCGCAGGATTAGCTCATGAGCGAATGGGGGACGGAATTAAATTACGGACCTCGCAAAAAAGGGAGAACTCGACCAAGACAAAAATTGAACTGTTAAGAAAACTGGGAAATAAATTATTCATTTACGAAATTTGTTAATAAATTGAAGAGGAATATTTCAGTCAATATTTGAATTAAACGTTTACCTGAAAAGTTAATTTACAATTTTAGTTGGTATTGCTCTTTTAAGTTTTTACACATTTTATAATAATAATAATAATAATAATAATAATAATAATAATAATAGTTTATTAGTGAGGCAGGCCAGCATACATGAAATTTACAACTTTTCGCCTATTTGTGAGTTTTCCATTAAAATAACAGAAAAATTTCGGGTCTGTATGTGTTTGTGAGAAAGTCTGTGTGTTTCGAAACTACGGCAAATTGCCCTGAAAAAGTTTTAATTATCTTACAGTTGTATTATACCTCGGGGATGTTATAAAGTAAAACGTTCTCTCAACTTTTGCTAAGCAGTTTTTTTGTCCTGAAATGCTTTCCGACATACACGGTCGCAAAAATACTTCGTAATGAAAGAGAGAAATTTCGAAGAGTATTTCGGCAAAAGGGAAAGAGAATAAGTAGAATGCAATGCTACTACACTCGGTTGGCGGGACGAATTTGGCACAGTACATATGCGAGATTTTTGATATTTTTATTGAATCATACTCGTCATCTAAGCGAGAATCTAACATAGTGTTTCTTTTTTGTTTCAGGTAAGCAAAGTACTTCATCCTGCAGCTCTTCGGCAAATGGAATGTCGCCTCCACTTCCGGTGATGTACCGAAATCTAATTTACAAAGTAGCTCTTGTTGTGAATCTGTAAATTGAACAAAGTCATACCTGGAGATTTTTAGTGCATCAATATTTGCAAATGTAGCAAAAGAAAAGCTTCAGAAAAAATGTCATATTCGTGTTAAGACAAACCTAATAATGAGCAAGCGCTTACGGAAATCTTCTGGAAACGTTTAAATTAGCATCTAAGCATGGTGGTGTTTGGTTCCGTGATACGCGAAACATTTCGAATTGCACGTGTTGAGGTATGACCGTACTTGTTATCCGCGATGTCTTTGGTTATTTTTTTCCCTTTCTTTCTCCTCTCCTTAGGATAAATACGCCTTGCATTTTTCGTGGTAGAGGCAAAAGGTACAGTTCGTTTGTGCTATGTAAACGTTTTTATAGTTTCTTAGACAGATATAAGAAATTCTCGTACAATACTTGTGCTATTAATGATAATTGTGATAATGATAATAATTAACAAAAAAACTCTCAAAAAACAACAATTGGATTAAATAAGAATACGTTATTTCTCGTTGACAGTCTTGCTCTTCAGTGGTTTTACTTCGTCTTCCTGTTGCGCAGTTTTCATATTGAGCGCGACGCTTGTCTACTGTGTTAGGGCGCCGTTGATGGGCGGCCGTCCCGCGCCCGCCCCCGCGCCGCCGCTAATCGCCCCGATCGCCCCGTTTTGAGAGCGCGGAGCAGCAGCCACTTGCCTCAGCCTTTGGGGCGGGGCGGCGTCTCCGTCGAGGAGCCACTTTGATAGCGTTTGCATTTTCCGCCTTCCGTCTTTCTCTCGAGCCCCCAAAGACCCCCCCCCCCCGCCCCTCCTCCTCATTGGAGGACACCGCTGACTCCTCACAATGCAAGGACCGCGGAAGCCAAAGGCTCCCAATTCATCTCGAAATTTTGCTTGCAGGTAATTGCCTAGAAATTAAACTGTGTGTTGGACTAAAGCACGCCTACTATTTTAGTTGTAATGTCATGATTCTTAACAATTTCTTAAGTGTACTTCCTTCCATTTTTGGACGTCAGACGTGATGAGTTGTATGTGCAGAGATGAAGAACGCCGGTGTAACAGGAGGTGAACTGACGGAGAGGGGAGGTTGTGTTCAGGGTATGCGGTGGTTCGCCCATTATTTCACAAACTTACGTGGTTAGGACTGATCCAATAATGGTAATGGAAATGATAGTGTGCCTGATGGAGGTTGAGGGAATGGCCTCCGTGAGGTGGAAGGCGCCCCGCGTCTGTAGAGGGCGCGCGCCCGAGGGTGGGGTGGCGGGGGGGAGGGAGGCGCGCTGTATTTATAGGCCACTCCCCGCGGCCTGGCTTTCTCCAGAGGACAGCGACGCGCGCCCCGCCCC